GGTGGGGGGGTTGGGGGGGGAAGGTGAATATTCATATATTAAATTAAAAATGAAAAACCACTGCTTCATTTGCTATTGAAAACATGTTTACTTACATATAAATAATGACTGCTGTTCTTACCTTCTCTTGGTACAAAATCAATCTTGACCTCTGGGGGAAAAAAAGCAGGGAAGAAGGCACGAGAAATAGATCAGAGAACAGAATTTACACAGCATCTGCACCCAAAAAGTGATTTTAAAATGATCCATCATTTAAACCTCAGAAGGCATATATATCAACAGACTAATGCAATAACCTGGAAAACAGGCTCCGTAAAACCATGTGATAATGATAACAAAAAATAACAGGGAAAAGCAATGTGAATATATTGAGGTATCAGGAAAGAAATTCTACATGCTCTTTCCTGGTATAACCATGACTAATGCCATCACTTTTTCCTTTTGGAATTCCCATTACATATTCTAAAATAACTTACCCAAAAACTGAAGCTTGGCAGAAAGGTTGTAAGCAAATCCCTGAGGGATGAAGGAATAATCAGCCTCGTCACCTGGTGTTACATCCTCAATAGTTAGCTTATGGATTCTAGAAACGTGAACAAATATATTCCACTCTCTTACCTTACCTCTCCAGGAAAAACAGAGCTACCTCAAGAGGCAAAGTGCAGACTATAGCATATTAACAGACATTACTATTTATTCTCCCTTTGCCCTAACATCAAGTCAGCAACAACAGGGCTGTAGACTGCTCTGCTTTTGATATTCAAGCAAATTCATGTCAATACGTTGTCTATGAATGGATTTTTCTTGTCAAGGTAGATGCATAGTCTAGACTGAATGGAGGAAGTAGTATCTTTGCTTTAGTCCAGTCCTTTACCACTACAAGGGCAGCTGTAGCACTGCTGACTGGCTTCTTGTGATCAGATCGTGACTACAATAAATCCTGGAAAAAAACAGGCTAAAAGTTGATGATCCATCTCTGTATTATTGTAAATTCAAAACAGAATACAGAAAGGGAGTACCAAGGAAGAATTTAACTAATATGTAATGCTTATGTATCTTCTGAAGCTCCTTGGTCTCCATTTCCACTAGTAATTAGACTAAGACACTTGAGCACAGCTGTATGTGTTAATATCAATGTCTGTCTAAACACTACTGCTAATTTTAAAGTTATCAGCAATGTGTTTTCTAGATTGTATGAATACCAAGAAAGCATGAAATCCTAATGAAAAGTGAGAACCAATTCTGCTGATATACCACTGATGCCACGCATGCAAAACATGTCAACACAGAAAGATCGCATGCAAGCCTGTTACTATCTGTTGATTGCATATGAAAAGGTTTTTAATTTTTTTCCTTTTTGCTGGAGCCAGGACGAGTCTTGTTTTATATTCCTATCCCCTGAGATAATAGTTCCTGTGGATTGTAATGCAATACCCAGGTCTGTACCTGCTTTCTGAAACAAGACTAACCTGCCAATATGGGAGATCTTTATCCTTTCATCTGGGACCACTTCCTTTCCATTTTTCAACCAGATTCCTTTCACATTTTCATCGGAAACTTCACACTTGAAGACTGCCTGGTCACGTGCCTTCACTGTCAGGTCTGCAATGCTCTGATAAACTTCCAGCTTTTTCTCTGATATTGTGAGAACAATCAATACACACATCAGCAAGTCAGAATAGCCCTGTAAGTAAATAGTTAGTGTGGATTTACTGAGTAGGAAAGGCTAGGGCTAAGCAAGCTCCTTGCGGAAGCGTGAAATATGAAGGGAAATCCACAGCATGCAGCGCTTTAACAGGACTGGTAGTGAAGCACCTGTTACTATCAGAGTATCTGTTACAACCAGCACACAGGTCCGAGTTCTCCTTGAGGCCTTTATGATCAAATCTTATGCCCCTTATTAAGTCTTCTTTTCCCTGGCATGAGGATTATGCTACTCCTCTGCACTATTCTGGAGAAGGTTACCTTCCGCCTGTTTTCATTTTCAGCATCTCTGGTTCTGTAATATTACCTGTGCCTACCTTGTACAATTAGTTCAGCGACTGATACTCCACCACTGGTCTTCACGGTGTAGTGTCCACTATCCTCCTTGGTTGACTCATTAATAATTAGGTACTGCTTTTTTCCATCTTTCTTGAATCGATATTTGAATGTTTCTTCTCGTGTCAGCTCAATTCCATCCTTTTCCCTGCAATGCCAAATAATGTTGAATCATTTTTCTGTGGTTGATAGAGGAAAGTAAGAGTCAGCTCAGTGTTACTAGAGACTGGAAGACACAAGATAAATCCATTCTTTGAAGCATTTCAAGTTAGCAAGAAAGAGACCATTGCACAAATGTTAGTGGAACCAGAACTAAAATGCTTCTAGCCTGACAGTTAGTTTGATTTCTGGTTTAAGAGAGTTTGCTCACAAGGAATTACTTGATTGTTACTCTTTATATGCTGTAGATAAACATGAAAGTATGTTAAATGTTGTAAAAGATAGAGGGATGAAGACACACTTCACCAGCAGGGAATGTACTATCTTAAAACTGCTACAAGGTAAATGGGACTTGCTGGGAAATTACTAAAAAGTCTTAATTTTTGTGATATGAAGTATAATTGCTATAAATTCATAGTGTGTGGGCATCAGTAAAAGAAGATTTTAGGATAGATTTAAATGGAGATAAGTTTTGGGTTTTCTAGCCCTTTCCATTTAAGGATGCCACAGTATATTTAAGACATTACTAAATTAAGCTTCACCATCCAGCCTGGGAGGAAATTTAATTATTGTAATTTCCAGTCATCCAGCACATTGCTGATGCTGTGTATGAGCAGAGCATTTACAGGGAGGTGTACTGACAAACAAGGGAGTGATAAAATTGTAAACTTCAAAATTCTGAGATATCATTCGGCATGAAATGATACACTGCTCTAGTGAAAAGTGAAAAATCTCATGTAAGGTAATATTACAGACCTCCCTTTGGTAACTAGAGCAATGAAGTAGAAGAATCAGTTGATATTAAAGTTTAAGTGGAGGACTTAATAGAACCAAGAAGTGTTGATTTAAAGACCACCATTGGTCATCTGGTCCAGCCTCACATTGAAGCAGAACTAGTGCAGTAATAGGTAGGTCAGCTATGGTTTAATCTATCCAAGGCATGAACATCTGCAAGATCAATTATCTGTTCTCAACGTTGCCAATTAATGCTTCTTTTCTCTGTCTGAAAATGCTTTCCTATTTCCTCTTTAGATTCTAAAGATAAATTGGTTCATGTCTTCTGAGATATCACTGATGTATGTACTATGTGATAAAGAGGATGCACAGATTTATTGTTATTATTGCATTACTATAGTTTGTTTTCATTTGGAGCTGATGATATATCCAGCATTCAGAGATGGAAAACTCAGCTCAAAACTATGTATTTTATTACATCTTTTTGTTCAAGAATTGTACTGTTTCCAAGACCATCTGAAGATTAGAAATAACTGTTTCATACTACTGCATAATAATAATGTGTGATCTTCCCGGGTGATCAAGAAAACATTCTTTCATAATTACTATGAAAAGACCCACATAATGAATTCTCCAAGCCCTAATCTGATGGCCATGCCTAAGAGGCTGTATGCCTTGTTTCTGTCCTGTGCAAGTCAAGTAATTGCTTTTGGTCCTGTGCTTGTGTTTAAAGGGTGCAAGAGCTGTAACAGGTGCCCTGACTGCTTGCTACTTGATGTAAACTGTCGGGCATTTTCCTAATGCACCATAAAACTGGAACTCTTCCTTCATACTGTGTTCCATGTTTCCCCTGGGTGCTTCCCTCTATTATCCAGAACTCTCCCTTTGTTGCCAAAGAGCATTTATTAAACCAGTAAAACACAGTGTAAATGTTTAACTGCTCAGTTTTCTGTTGCTATGATATTCAGATTTCCTCTGACCACTTGCTGCATTTCAGGCTGAGACAGCTGCTGGTTTGCCTTTGTCACACCAAATGCCCATCCCACAGACATCAGCTCTGCAAGATTATGGGAGTTGTTCAAAGGCATAGGATCAAAGTGTGGCAGCTGCACTGTGCTCTGAGAGGAACAGATCTGGTTGTCCCCATCTCTTATGACCAGGCATCTGTGAGCAGTTCCTGAACAATAATATGCGTGTGTCTGTGCATGTGGCTTTAATAGTGTAATGCATATGCTGTACTAGCTTCTGGGCTCTATTTAAATTCTCAGTTCCTTCCTTTGGGAGAGCAGATGAGTGGTTGGCACTTTCCAGGAATGTAATGGGCATTGTGGGAACAGTTGATAACCATGTGCCTGAAGCTGTTAACAAGCACAAGAGAATTTAATCTGGTAGAGAAATGAAGTGAGAACAGTGTGTGTAAGACCTGGAATGTGAGCACTCCCTGCTGTGCCTTCCCAAGCAGCGTGAACCTTCCAGCTTCCTTTCAGCTGGAATGCCCAGCAAAATGGCCTCTATGGTCTAAATGTTTGTCATCCTAATCCTGGTTGCTGCATATGCATAGTGACTGGCTTTGCAGGATCACCACAACAGATATGTTAAAATACGTCAATGACCTTCCCTCTCTGTCTTAAGAGATACTAAATTTTATCTAAAATCAATAAAAAATACTTAAAGAAACCCAACCAAACAAAAACCTCTCTGCAGTTGAGAAGACCAGAAGATTCCATAAAGTACAGCAAACTTATATCAAATACAGATCTGATTATTCTGGGCAATAGTTAGACATTACTGTCAGGTGTTTAGAAAACTTAAAAGCTAACAGCTTAGTACAGTCAGTAGCATCCTGTAAACACCAAACAAGAAATTCTAGTGACACTATAAAATATCTATACTTCATCTGTTTTCTGCCATATTCTGGCCTCTCAGTTCCACCTCAATGCTTGACATACAGGAGGAGGATTGATCTTTTGCTGAAAACAGTTATGTAGAATGCCTTCTTCCTTTCTATTCTACAATTCTGGTCCATGAACACTGGTTCTACAATGTCCCATGGAGGGATATGGTTTCATGTTGTTTGGGGTATTTTCCCCCCTTTTCTATTCCCTTACCATTTCACAGTAGCTCCTTCCTCAGACACTTCACACTCAAACTCCACTCTCTCTCCAACCATCACCATCTGGTCCTCCAGTGGGTGAGTGATGAGGATTGGAGGTTCTGGAAATGAAGAGACTTTTATTATTCTGAAATAATAGTATTCTGAAAGACCTAAGACCAGAGGTATATTTCACCACTCTGCACTGAGTGAATTCCTGGCCAAATACAAAGTGATGCTCTCTGTGTTGGAACTTAAAATTTACTCTGCTGGATCACATTATCAATATTATCAAATTACCTGTTGGTTTTTTGCTTCTTTAGACAGAATACAAATACAGGATTTTCATATATATTCTGAAATTCTAAACTGGAGGCATTAGTTTTCTGTACTACTTGATTTGCTTGTAGAGCTAGAGGCACATGTTCGTCTTAAGGGGAATGAAATTTTTAAAGTCAGTTTCTAACCCTTTTGATGGGAAGATGTAAAATCACTTTCCAAATGAGAATTAATTGTAATCATTACTGTGTTGTTCTCCTGTGCTTTCTTAGTTGCAGGTATAGGGAAGATTTTCCTTCATTTAACTGTAAGAAAAATATCTACTTCAATAGATGTCAGAATTTGTTCATATATTTGAGAATTGCCTTTCCTACAAGATTAACTAATCTAAGAGTAGTAGACAGTAATTCAATGCTAAATATTAGGGGAGATCTCTTTCCTTTTGCTACCATTGCTCACCTTTTACAAATAGTTCTGTGAAGCTCTTCTCCTCCCCTACCACACATTCATATGCTGCATCATCAGCCAGAGAGCAGTGGTTTATGGTCAGTATTCTCTTATTCCCAACAGCCTCAAAAATATATCTGAAAAGAGAATCTAAATGTAATTATCAAAGAGTAACTCTTTTGGACCCAGTCACTGCCTTCCCCTGCCTGGCAGAGAAAAAGGTTCCTACTTTTGTTCTGCTATCAGTGGCAAGGTTTGTGAAGGCTCGAGACCTGTACCCCTCTCCTGGTGCAACAGACAGCAGAAGTGTCTGAAAAACTAGCATAGGAAATTATGGAGAAATCTTCATGTGAGTGTGAGACATGCAAACTCCTGTGAATGGTGTTGGATGCTTTTCTAACATTTGGCCATACAGCAAGCCTGACTACCATCACAAGTGCTTTGTTATGGCTTCAGCACAGAATCACTGGAAATTTGTTTTACAAACAAGCTACCCTGAAGTATATCCCACATTATGAGAAAGTAACTTTAAACCCTGGATATATGCATAAAGATCAGAATATAATCTGAGGACTTACTTGCTAAGTAGGTAGATGTAAGCATCCAGTTCCACATGTAGACATATAAAGCAAAGGGAAGAGAAAGAAAAAGTCATGAGGACAGCAGATTGACTCTGAGCCAAAACACTATGTAGATTCTTTCTCAGCTCCTATTTCTCCCTCTTTTATTCCTTTCTTTAAAAAAAAAAACACCTAGTTTTTCCACTTTGTCCAACTGGATTTCCCATATTTTCAGTTTACCTGCCGCTCACTTGGATCTCCTGTCCATTCTTCAACCATTTCACATCAGCATCTGGATCAGCAACTTCAACCATTAATTTAATCTTTTGCCCTTTGTCCACTTGGTAAGCTGGATCCAGTTTCTTGACGAATGCTATGATGAAGAATGACTTAAAAAATACAATATCTTAAACATTTTTATACTTAGCATTTTGTTAAACATTCTCTGTCAGGAAAGCAAATCTTTATACCCTTTCCTGTTGTTTACCATGATCTTAAACCTTCCCCAGGTTCTGTATCCCTGTTTGCATTTTTACCATTTCTGTCTGTTCTTCATCCTGTTCTTTTTTCTGTTTTTCCTTAACATAGGATGAAAAGCATGTGGTATAAAGTAAAATAAGGGAAGTATAATATTCTAAATCAGATGTGAATATGTACTTCAACACATCCTAAAGAGAGTTACAGCTACGTCCGCCCATGTAGGAAAATGATACTGATCTTCTCAGTACTAATGAATGGCAGTTTGCTTCTCTGTTTCAGACTTTTCAAACAAATTTATTAAAATTAGGTAATTGATACTTCACAAGTCTAGAAAAGTCTCAAGAATTCCAAAAGTGTCATCCCAAGGGAAATTAAATTCTTTTGATGTATATCAGTGATGCCTGACATACTGACCAGTTTGGGGGGTGGGTGGAGTGGGGAGTGTTCTTGTTTTAAGTTCAGTGAAAGATAAGAGGCAGAGCAGAAAAAACTGGTAAAATGAGCAGGTTCAGGATATCCAGAGTTTCAGAGCAAGGTAGCTATCTCAGAGCTTTGGGCATAGCTTTAATCTTTGGTAATCCAGATTTCACGTGTAAAGACTTTGTAACAATTGGAATAGGAAACTCCTGTTTCCCATGCTCTTGCAGCTGGCTGCTGTCCAGCTGATGTTAGTTTGAAGAACTTCCAAAGAAGATATTAACATATATATATGGAATAAATACAGACCACCAACCTGTACTTTTTTTCTCTTCCTTCTTTATGCGTTTGAGGCGTTTCAGCATCCCACGCAAATCTGTGATGCCATACTGAAAAGCAATCTTCTCGTATTCAGAAGGAGGAGCTTTCCTCAGGATTTCCCAGACATCAACATCAGATTGTGATTCAGATTTTGCTTCACCTCTGCAGAAAGGGATTAGAATATCTGAATGCCACTATTGAGAAGATTTAGAAACAGCCATAGGCTTGTTACATATTGGCTTGATGAAGCCATTTCTTAATAAAAAAGTTAGCAGTCTAACTTTTTACTACATTATTATGTAAAATAATGAAAAAAAAAGAGTGACTAGTTTTACTTATATTTATATATACAGTGATTAAAATCCAATCACTGTCCTGAAGGGTTTACTTTCTAACAGCCAAAGCAATTAATTATTAACTTCCCTCTAACGATGGGCAATGGAAACACAAGAAGACTTATTTTTCTACCATGGTCATACACAAAACATGTGCCAAAGCAAGGAACTGAACTGATATCCTGAGAACACCTCAGAAACAAGGCAGTTGGTTTCTGTTAATAACAAACAAATCCTTTTCTACTCAGGACATTTTTTGTCTTCACTAAAATGAATCACAGATTATTAAAATATTTATCATCTGTTATGAAGACAATTGTTGCCTATAGTAATCTGTAAAACATAAAGACACTTAGACTGGTGAGTAGCGGCAAATGACAATATTTTCAATGGACTACTTATTTTTATAGTTTAATGAAAGAACTATTGATTATGGAAGAATTAATGTTTGGTTTACCAAAACAAAGTGAAAGTTTAGTTGTTTGGATTTTGGAAAGGGATTCTTTTCCTGTCATCGTATTTTTTATTTAAAAGATCATAAGTAGAAAAAGAAATTGGCATAACCTTACCGATTTGCCGAGCGCAAGAAGCTGCTGTACTCCAGAGCGATGCAGAGAACCATTTGAAAAAACATGCAGCATCCCAATGGGCAAGAAAGAGGGCATCATGTGTTAATACAAAAGAGCCATGAATGTCATCTTCACCTTTAGCAGAACAAGCCTGTGCTTCAGTAGCAGGGAGATGAAGGAGCTCATGCAAAAGCTTTGAAATATACTTAAGAAAAATGCTGTTCCCTGTTAAAACCAAACTCACTCCCACATTTTGTAAAGTTCCACCCTGCAATTTATATTATAAATGTAAGCACTTCTGCTTATTCCTAATTATGGCTGATTGCCTTACAGGGAAGAAAATAGCTCTACATTGCCCTGTTGTCAGATAGTTGTTGCTTGTCATAGTTTGCATTTTGGTAAACAGAGAAAGGATTAAAGAAGTAACATTTCCTTAAAACTTTCTTTAGGAAAAGGAACTTCCTGTGGCTGTTGTGTCTCATATCACCAGATTGCAGTACAGCAGAACACATCCTTATAATGAAGCCACATTCAGTGGTAAACCCCAACAAGAAGATAAGTTATGCAGCAGGTAATTAAGAGAAAAGTGGACAATTATTGGGTGTATTTCCATTTTTTTTTCAGTAAAATAAAAGTCCCATTAATCTGCGAGGCATATTACTACTTTAAAAAGCATGACTGTAGTCAGTCTAGACAGCAGGTACAACCAAACATTTCTGGTACTCCTTTTATTGCCCAAAAAGCTTGCTTGTAACAAAAGCACTATGTTTATTAAAGTACTTCAGTCCAGGCTTGGGATTTCCAGCACCTTTGTAGCTCTTGAACAGATGGGAAGCAAGAGAAGAGGATTTCAGCTCAGTGAGTCTGAGCTGAAATATGGTATGCAATTATCTTACATTTTTTGAGTGGTTTAGCACTCACTAAGCACTCCCTAGCACTCATTGAACTGATAGGTGTATCTGAAGTTTGGATTTCTTGCAATAAGTGCAGCCTGCTGAGTATTTGCTTTGTCGTAACAGTGCATTAACATCACCCACAAATTTAATCAGGATTCCTCTTCTCTATGTATCTGTCATTTAGTCTGGGGCACCTACAAATGGTTTGCAGTTTTGCCTAGCAGAAGGCGGGACAATTGAACTGATTTGCTAAATAGACCAGGATTTTTTTTAACATAAACAGCTCTTCGGCTATTTGTCCTGATCATAGCAATGGGCAACTTTGAAATACTTCTAAATACATGTAAATTTGAATAGATATGTAAGTACATAAAACCAGGAATATGTGCTGAGTTCTTTGTAGTAGTATAATTAGTGTTCTGTGGAACAAACTCTATCTTGAAAGGAAATAAAAATTCATAGGAAATAAGAAAGACTTAACAGATTCAAATGTTATTATTTTCCCTCAGGCATTATATAAATAATGGTGGTCTCTCTGTCTGCCCGCCTATTTATATGCTCTTCTGTATACCCCCTTTACTTGAAAACTTGCAGGTAGTTTTTTCCAATTAATGGAAATTAAAAAATAATTTGTGTGAGTTATTCTTACAAGTATCATGAGAAGAATCTTCCAATTTGGAAGCAATTCCACAGTCTAGTAGATCTCACTATTGAGCAGACTGCCTTAATTTTTGCTTTAACTTTTTGATTGCTCAGAGTCATTGTTATATCTGGCAATACTGTTTTGGTGCATGCAAGCTGAAATACAAGAAACTTGATCATAAGCAAGAGTATATTATCTTCCTTGGAAATACTAATGTTTTCTAATTACAGGGAAAGACTTGTAAGTTGCATGTAAAATGGTACTAAAATCTAAAGGTCGTAATTTGCATAGTTTTTAATTGAATTCTGAAAAAGAAAAAAAAGAAAAATGTCTTTCTCTGCCTCTGAGCAAAGTACTCCCAGTACTCCTCCTCACCATTTTGTATTTGTTAAAACATTCTCTTTGATCCCATAAAGACACAGAGCTTCCATAGCTAGGCTGGACTCTTCTGCTACCAACAGGAACCAAGCAGTGAACAAAAAGTAATAGAGCACTTGGACTTCTGAAGTTCTCCCACCCTTACATTACTCTCCCTGATGCTGGAGATCCTTATTCCGAGTGATCACCTCATAGGTTAACTATGCACTTGGGGGCATTAAGACGCAGCTTAGTGAACCTGCTGTTAATGGAATATGCAGCTGATTGATACGTTTTAAACATATGTAGATGGGTTAAAAATAGTTTTGTACATCCCAGAGATGGTTCCTTCCTATCCCATTACTGTCAACTGATTGGACCCTGTCAGCTGTCACCTCCTTCAAGGTCTCTGCTCACTATCCCATTTAATAGTTTTGTGACAGCTGTTCCCTTCCTCTTCTCAATGACCTCTCCTTGGCCCATGACATCTGTACGTCAACACCAGTTAATTAAATTACAGTGTTAGGAGATATAGTATTAAATGAGGCTCTCTTTATTACAGAGGGAATGTTTATTACCTCGGAATTGAGGGGCACTTGTAAATTAGGTGTGACAATTTGGGATTGAGGGGCACTTGTAAATTAGGTGTGACAAAGCGGAAGTGGTGAAAGAGTAATCTTCAAGTCTATTTGAAACTGCATGGCTCTTCAGAGTTCCTTGGCATGAAGTCCCTTTTCCTATTCTGTTTTAAAGAGCAATACTTTCATTCCATGATGAGTTTTTATGCCTATCTGCTTTCATTAATACAGGAGTGGTATTCAACCTGTGGTATGCAAAACCTGAAGGATCCACAAATTACTTCCAAAGTGGCTGTGAAAAACAACTAGGAGCAGTGAATTTATCACTATGCTTAAATTCACTAAAGAGAGATTTGTAATTCAAGAAAGGTCAAAACAACTGATAAAATGCAGTGAAATTTATAAGCTTCTTTTAATGAGTTATATTTCTCGTCTAACAAATAGATAAATCCACAGATTGAACACTTCTGGAAATATTGGAGATTTTTACTACATTTTAGAGTTCTATCACTGCTCAAAACTATGAAAGCAGGAGGAAAAGGCACTATGAGAGGAGGCCATAGTACATAGCACTTCAGCTGGAGTCATTGTATGAAACTGTGCAAATATTTTCATGCTAACCTCCATTTATTTTTAAAATTTTAGTAAGAAATCAACAATTTGATTTTGCCTTACATTTTCTAAAGAGATTAGAATGTGTGTACAGTTACTTTAGTGCAGGTGTCAAACCTGTACTGTTTTGATTACTGCTGTTATTCAGAAAGCATATTTTCCGGACTTCAGAATTACAAAAAAAGGAATGCACTTTTTTGTTTCAGATTTCTCTGGGGTTCACAATGAAACAAGAAACTTTGGTATCACTGTTAGCTACAGGAAGTTTGGTAGGTATGCTTTCTGTCCCGTCTAGATGGCCCTCTTGAGGATTCTGGTTGTAGCATTACTGCAAAGCCAGAATTTACTTCTTGTTGGATACATTGCATATGGTGTTGTATAGGGGTTTGGATGGCTATGTGACCTTCTTTGCCCCACTGAAATTTGGGCGAGTTAACCTAAGTGAAACATGAGGCTATTGTGACTTTATTGCCTTCCATAACCAAGCTATTTCAGACGTCTACACGATCCTCTACTATTTGTGAAGACAAAGTATTTCATATAAATAGTGATATCAATACCAGAGAAGAAACTGAACGCAGATTCGCAGTAACATTCACCCAAGTCATTGACTGTGAAAACTTAAACTGAATAAGTTTAGATTTGCAAAACAGGAGTGTAGTGACAAGTGTTTGTAGTGACAAGTGTTTGTAGTGACTTCGGGAGCTGGAAACACAGGGTGAGCGGCCAGCAGCAGTGAACAGAAAGAAGCATGCTTGAAGTAATGACATGATAATGAGCAGTGGGTGGAATAAAAAGAAATGTTCTGTAACAGAGAAGCCTGTACATTTATGGAATAAGTGACTTCAATAATGCATTCACTTAACATGTTCAAGGATGGCTGGAGCAAAACTTCAGCACATATTTGATAAGCACTAGCAGGCATAAAATGTAAATATTTTTTTTCTGATTCTGCTTTCTATGATAATAGGAACTTAATCAGCAGGTTAATGATAAAAATCTGTAAATTCAAGGACAATTTAAAACTGCTTATAAAAGAAAGTGATGATGAAAAACTAAAGGGCATTCACAGAATTGCATTGATTTGTGTTGAATGGTCCACCCTTAACCTCTACTAATTGTTTAAAAGCATTTCTGTCTCAGAAATTGGTGGCTGATAATTTTCTTTCAAACTATGGGATTTTTGCCACACCCTACACGTAAGAAAGGTAAAGATGCATGCATTATTTCAAACCAGATTGTTCTTGTATTCAGTCTGACTCATGCATTTATAACAAAATGAAATAGAAATCTTACTCTCTGTTGGCAACAGTGGAATCCAAAATATCCAGATTAAAATGATGGTAAAAAGAGAAAAACAGAAGTAGACAAATTATGAAAAGAGATGTGGCAAGGAAGGATGAGAATGGGAAAGGAAATTCCACCAAAAATAAGTGAAAGTAAAAGCAATAAATAAGAATTAGACTCAGAGGAGTAAAAATTGTTTATCTAATATTTAAACAACATAGAATATCTTTTTATATATATGATGAACAGATATATAATATGTAATATACAGTTGTATAGTGTAATATTATCATTTAGAAATCTAATAAAAAGACTTGTCCTTCCAGCTCTCTGATGTGAAGTACTGTGAAAACTTAGGACAGGAAATTCTTAGTAAGGCAGAATTATAGACAGGTATTGAAAATTGTTGTTGTCTTTTGGGTTGTTTATTTGTTTGTTTGTTGGGGTTTTTTTTAAATGAAAAGTGCTGGTGGAAGCTATTAATGTCTTAAGCCTTTTCTGTCTTGGGAAAGATCAATCTTTCTTTTTTTTCCTCTTTCTTTTTTTTTTCCCCTCCAGTATAAACCTAGCAGAAATGCAGCAAATGCTGAATATTTGAGGAAGTTGCCATAATTACCTGTCATCCTTTTCCAGTTACAGCTGCTTTAGGAAAACTACAATGATTCTGAATTTATGTGACTTTCACTTATTCTAGTTTTAGTGTTTCTAGAGTTGTTCAACAGAAGCTGGTTCCTTTATTTCTGGAAGCCTATCAATTTTTACTCACCTCTTTTTCAGCAGGGCACTAAAATTAAACTCTCCACCTTCCTCATGTCCTTCGGTACTATGTAGTAACAGAAAACCATAATTAGTTTCAGAAGGAAATGGAAATAGCTTGTGAGACTATATCATGTAGATGATAAAATTTTGTATGGAAGTAGTAGATGGGTTTAGAATTACTTAGAATGTGCACTGACATGGAAAGTGGCTTAATTAGACTCTCTGTCCGTATTGGTCTTCATACAGGTTTAAGAAATATGTGTAATGAACTTGTATTTTTTTCTGTACTGATTATGGATAAAGTGGCACAGGGTATTAATTTGGTGATCATATTGCTCTGGAATGTACTCATTATCATAAAGATTTTGCAGAAGCTTTCCTTTAGAATCATTAGTGCTTTTGGAAAGCTGTAATTTCAGGAATGTGGATATTGTTTGCAGCGTGGGGCAGTATTTAAGCAACCTTTGTGTGGGACTTTTTACAATCTAAAATAACTTTTTTTCTTTTTTTTAGTGTTATCACAGCTGTAAGTGTTTCTTAAGGCTCTTTGTGATTCCAGAAAAAAGTGTCACATCACTTGGGAGAGTTAAAGGAGGAATTCTGTGATCTAACTTAGGTTCTGAGATGAGGTTCACTATGCAGTTGTTCAACACGCATCGTGGCAAGCACTGTTGTGCTGAACTGATTCGTGAGAACAAGAAGCAACAAGCAGGAGTTTTGTGATGTGTAATTCTGTCTGTTACATATGGTGAACTCAGATGGAATGCACAATGCTATTTCTGGTGTTCTGACTCAACTGTGTTTTAGCTGTGCTTCTGAACATGTGACGTACAGATCTACTCTGAAAACAGCATAAAGTCACTAAAAAAACTTCTTTGGGTTTAATCCCTAAAAAATAACTTGGAGCTACACTGGATCTCATGACTATGGATTATTCAACTTAGCAAAAAATTAAAATCTTCTTTGCATTCAGACAGAGTTTAGAAGTAAAAATGGATTTTCTTCATCTTAGTCAGTCTCCCATCAGCAATGTTCAGCTCCTCAACATCTCTGTTGTCTAGAGAATAAGAATCTGGTGATGCCATCTCACAGCACTCAGATTCTTCCAGCAGAAACCCCTTATATGTAAATATTGTTTTGTAAACAGAAATTATTATTTTCAGTTGTACTGGTGGTAGTGGTAGCCCATAATGCTTCTCTGTCAATACAGAGTGCTAATTGGCTCAGAGAAAGTCGGTTTATCTGTAGAAGTGTAAACCAGAATGTCAGGAAAACTCAGTATTTCCAGAAAAAGTATTTTCAAAAATAAGAAAACAGCCTCAACAGATAAATGATGGCCATTTTAACAGTACTGTTAATAAAATGAAAGAGAAATGAGTGCCTAGCTTCTTGTGCCACTTCACAACGTAGGGTTGGTGAGAATAAATAACAATTTTGAATCAGTGTAATTTTGAATATGTTGTGAGATGAGATCTTTTTATTAAGAAAGTACTGGTTTTATTCTGTGATTACTTTCAAGATAGTACAGAACTGGAAAGGATGATTTTCTGAGTATAATGCTCAAACAGAAAAGTTTGGTTTTGGCCACTTTGTTCCCTACTATCAGAAGATTTTCAATGTTTACAGGCATAAAAGGTACATAAAAATCAGTAGTATAACCCCAAATTTGAAAAGGGCTTCTTGTGATCAAATATTAGGAAATCAGTATCTACAGCTGGGAGAGTAACTGGTCACCTTATTGCTTCCCAGGTGGTAGTTAAATCAGATTTTCAGGAAAGCCCAGCAATCAATGTTTAGCTTTTCTGAAGAATAATACCTTAATAATTTCTTTAACATGCATAGAGTTAAGTCTAATCTCAGATTTCCTATTTTCATTATGACAGAAGACACAGGGAGGGAAATTTAATGCTACTAGGATAAAAAGAGTCTGCCAGAAAACAACGGATTTTCATATATATGTGTGTTGCTACATTTCTGTGAGCGGTGGCAGTTTTAGTCAGGATGTGCTCAGTAGAGAGGGAAATGTAAAACAGAAGAGGCAGACATGCATATTATCTGAAGTTACTTTTTTCTTCTGACAGTGGTGAGGAGATGCCACTTGCCAAACATGTGCCTTTTTGTAGATGAATCTGTCTCTCACTGAACTATCAAAGTATCCTTTTTGTTGTTTATACTCACATTACTACTTAATCTCATATAAATACTACATACTATAAATTATGATTTATTTGGAATTTAAGCTAGGTCTCTTTTTGGTTTTTTCATAAGCAGAGAGAGACAGTTCATTGTTAGACTTAAATTTGTCTGCTGACACAGACAGTGGCTACCTGAGAAAGGCTGAAGTCATCCGTCTCCCCCCTCCTGCCAGGCTCCTGAGTGAGGGCACCAAAGACAAAGCTTCAGATTTAAATTGTTCGTTTCAAAATTTGGCTCCCTTCTTACAGAAGAAACTGAAAATCTGAACAGCCTGAAGTTGCTCACACTGCACTCATTGCGAACTGATTAGAAATTCTTTTAATTGTTCTAGCAAGAAGAGAAACTCTTGAAGCCTAATTTTGCTGCAGAGAAATAACACAATGCAACAATGCACAATGATTGTCCTCTACTTAATAGGCATCACAGCAAGGCTGGTCAGCTACTTATAGATGGATTTGACTGTAGATAAATTCTGCAAGCCTTTTTTAGTTCTTTGTGGTTGAGCATTAAAAAAATATAGCCTTATAGTCTATTTTTCCTTATAGGGAAAAACTCAAGGAGTTCCCACACATTATTTGAGTCCTGTGTTAGAGAAACAGATGTCTGTTGGAATATTCTTTGTCTAGTAACTTTGCAAAAATACATTAAAAACTGTAACAGAAACTAATAAAGAATTACATAAAGGGAAAAGAAATACTCGACAGTGAAAACCACGTTGTTGATATGTAAATTAAAAAAATTAATTTATTTTGAAAATTTTACTAATAGAAGGGAACATTACCCATTAAGTCATACATCAATTCAAGCAGTATTACACATGAGGGAAGAATAGCTTTTTCAACATTAGTGCAATACCTTGAAGTCTTTAATATCTAAAACCTACATATATCTAGGTTTTGACACTGACACAGTATAATTGTCTTCATTCAATTAATACAATTATAGAACATGAAAACAAATACAATAAAAATACTTGTACTGTTATCAGTGATATGCTGCTTACAGAGCTCACATCAAGCTCCACTTCTTTGTTTAACAAATGTTTGTATTAAGGTACATGTAGTTCCCCAAGCCAGACCAAATCAAGACTAGGCACTACTCAGAATCTTTTCCTTCTCTATGGGTCTATATCTGGAGTGTTTTTTACAGATCTGGAAACAAAATGCTGGCTATCAATCGCATAACTAAAGACAAGCATGACTGACTGTTATGCTAGCACAAAGTCTAAGATCTCTTTTTTTTCCAATTTCTAAGAACTGTATGGTAATTTAACAGTGGAAATATTTTTAAAATAGAAATATTTTCTTAATAAACATCCCTATCTTTGTGCTTGTTTCTACAACAGCTTTGCTTTTAGTTAGTTTTGTCTAGGAAAGTAATGAGTTCTGCCTGGAAGTATAACCTGATCCAAATAAGTTTCTACCATACATACTCACGTGCGTCGGAAGGCAGCACGAATATCCAAGTCTCCAGTTATCGGTGCTTCTGATGTAACAAAAGGTGATGAACAGGAATGGGAGAGCAAGTCAAAATAATGCAAAAAATACAGTGCTATTTTTAAAGCTTTTCCTTTGGAGACTTTTTTCCTAAAGTTCTTACACTGCAATTGTGAACAATTACATAGTGAAAGATTGAAGCATGTAAACATGTAGCCTTTGCTAATTAGCTTTCAACATCCAGTGTTCAATGTATAACTGAATTCTGTCTCATGCTTCATAATAACCTACAGCATGACAAACCATCTTATCTCTTGTTTGTCAATTCTTCTGCTGGTAAATTTTAGTTTCAATATTAGCTTCACAGGATATTTAAACTCTAATGAGAAAACCACTGGATAGCAACTGAATATTATTACTAATAATAAATTGTAATCCATACACTGAAAGCAAAGGTAAATTCTTGGAAACATGTAGACATGTACAGAAACTAGATTGAGGATGTTGTGTAGAGAGAACTTCATTACTCTGTTCTAAGCTTCTGTTAGTATGAATAGGTGTACTGCTACTACTGGGAGAAAAACTGTCCTCAGTCACAGCTCCTGTCTTATGAGTCCTACAGCCAACTAGCAAAACTTCAAAAATGAACACTGCTGATCTATGCTTCTCTAGTAGCCACTATGTGCAAAAAAGTAAAAAAAAACAATAAAAGGAAAAAACCATCTTACCATTGACTATCAGGTTGAAATTAGAACTATCAAACTTGTCCTTGGTTGACACCTCACATCTGTACCCTCCTGCAAAAGTCATGTTTGCTTCTATGATTTCCATTTCAAAGGTGTACACCTACAACAGACACCAATGGTACAATTCATAAGTTAAAAATGAAATGGTAAAAGAGAGAGAGAGGGAGAATGCAGAAGGCATGGAGAGAAATGGACAAGGGATGAAATGTGCTGCTGTCTTCTTTTAGAATTAAGAACCTGCTGAGCACGTAACTCATTGCTGTCATAAACTTGACATATACTTCCTTCCCCAATTCTGTAGGAAGAGCTGAAGAGTACAGGTCTTCTTGGGGATACAATATTATATTAGCAACCTATGCTGGTGTGCTGGTGTATGCGCTCATCGTATACACTAATTGCATGTACACTGGAAGCAGGAATAGAGCTTTCATTAAACAAAAACAGCCTCTACCAAGAATGTATACAGTACATTTGAAAATTCAGTGCAAGTTCCAACCAGGAGAGGGTAGTAGTGGTTCATATACCACACAGGATGAGAAGTCATGGTACAGACTCTCTTGTATTCCTGTTTGTGTATCTTTGAACACATTTGTGGTAAAAATGAATCTTAGCTATTTAAAGTAGTCTAGACAATGCAAGAGAACAATAAATTCCAATAGTAGTAGCTGAATACTTGATCTATTAAAACCAAGACAGCCCATACTTAAATATCTGTCTGATTTATTGCTTTCTCTTAAATATAATGAGTATCTATTAGTTGAGAGGAAGATGGAGGGAATCCCTCAGTGGATAGCGCAAAACTGCTCCTCTAGTCCTCCAGACATTTTCTCGTTTCATCACAGTAAGGTATGCAAGAGTTTGTATGTAGTGCTTGTCTCTTGTCTGCATGATCAAAATATAGACTTCTATGCATAAGTAAAGCATTGTCTGTACCTTTGGGTACCTCAATATCAAAACATTCCCATATGAGTTATATTTTCCCCAGATCAAATATTAGTATTGAGAAGACTGAGAAGAAGAACCATACTGTGCCAATTGTACCTTGTTATTTCGATCATAATTTTCGTGTAGCTGGAGATGTTTCCCCACTTTGCTTCCTAGGTCCATCCACTTTCCTTTGAACCATTTCACTGATGGTTTCTTTAGCAGGCTCTCACCTGCTACTTTGGCAGTGAATGTGATATTTCCACCTGTAAGGGAAGTAGGTTACAATAAGAGATATGAGTAGTGTTTAATTTATCTGCTATATCACTGCTGTCATCCTGTACAAGGAGAGCTAAATAGTCAAGCAACAGGTACAGTTTACATCACTTGACTCACATTTTGTACTCACCAACAGTAACTTCTCCATCCTGGGGTCGTGTCACAAAGAGCCCAATAGGGTCCAGAGGCTCTTCTGGTTGAGTTCCAGCAGATGTAACTGAAACAAACATCTTAATTACTAGTAAGAACTTTCTGCATCAGCTTCTGTTACAGCCTATATAGCGAATTTGTTAAGCCATTTCTAAATATCTCAATATATTTCTTCTGTCTCTGAGGTTTCTTATTCTTTATTGTCTGTTAATTCATCACTAGTGGTCTCCTTTCAGCTACTGTCGCTACCTCACTGACTCTAAGGATTCCGTGTTCCTGTTCTTCCCTTCTGTTAATGAACCAGATTTGATGACAGTGTTGGTTCTCTATTACCTTCTGTGTTTTCGCTGCTTTCTACTGGTGGAGCAGGTGACTCTGAGGCAGCTGGGGCTGGGGCAGGTTTAGGCGGGGGGGAC